CAACCCAAACATCCATCAACTGATAAACGGATAAGTAAAATGTGCTATATCCATACAACAGAATATTATTCAGCCATAAAAAGAAATGAAATACTGATAGATACCGCAACATGGACGAACCCCGAAAACATCATGTCACGTGACAGAAGCCAGCACAAAAGGCCACATGTTGTAGGCTTTATCTATTATAAAATGTGTGGAATAGGCAAACTCATGGAGATAAAGAATACATTAATATTTGCCAGGGGCTACGGGAAGGGGTAAATTGGGAGAGATTGGTAACAGGCTCAAGGGTTCTTTCAGTGATGAAAATGGTCTGGACTTAGGTAGTGGTGATAGGCATAAAACATTTAGTGAAAGCTGCTAAATTGTATACTTTATAATGGTGTGTTTTATGTAATGTGAATTACATCTCGATTAAAAATAAGGAAAAATAAATAAAGGATACCCATGCATGAACCCATGGTGGGTGTGTCAAGAATTATGACTTATATAGCTCTGTGAACCTAAATTTCCCCACCCCAACCCCCAAACAAAGATCAAGGCAAGAAATGCAAGTTAATCACTGGACCAATTGAGCTGTGGTTTCCGTGGGAGCCTGGGTAACCATCCAGGAGACAGAGGACACACAGGTTTGAGCACAGGGGACAGAGTGAGTTGTTCTGGGCTGGAACGGTGGATTTGGGAATCACCAGAACATATACAGAGGAGGAGACCACCCAGTGTGTCCCTACTCTGAGAATTATGAGTGATCTTAATTTCAGCAGAGAGCCAAGGAAGAGCAAGAGTAGCTGCAAAAGGAAGGTTAAAGGAGAATCAGCGCAGAGTGGTGTTGGGGCACCAGAAAGAGAAACACGCCGGTGAGGAAGCTGCCAACAATGACAGATGTGGCCGAAAGGTTAGGGCAAGAAAGTGCCCACTGGATTTGATGAGTAGTGATTTCTGGCAAATTCTGCCTGAGTGATTTCAGTTTGATGTACAAAGAATCACATCTTCCTTGGGCTTCCTGTAGGCCAATGTCAATATGCAAGACGAGTAAAATGAATGACTTAAATAAAAATAAAGATAAAAACAAAACACCCCAAGAAGAGAAAATCTACAGTCCCACCGTGCCTATGCACACTGATCCAAAGTCATGGGGCTTTGCCCACCCATTCCCTGAGCCTGCCTTGACCAGAGCACAGCATAGACTGAGAATGGACCGTTCTGCCCTCATTAAAATGATGTTGGCAGAGCTTTTTTAATAACAAGGGCAATGATTACGCTTTACACTTCAGGGGGGAAAAGCAGAACATTAACTTGTTTATACTATATGCTCTTCAATATGCAAAATGTGCTTTAAAAAGAAGGCTGAGAACATGAGCGAATGAGCAGTTGCCTCTGGTTAGTTTCTGCAGTATTTGTTTTTTCCAATTATATTTGCTTTTTGATACATTCAAGTTTTGCTACGAAGATCAGAAAACAAAACTGTAAGGCTGGGAAAAAATGTTTTAATCAAACTTGAACAGAAGGCAAGCAGGGATAAAAATATTAATGTTAGAAGAACAAAATTCAGGACAAAAAAAAAAAGGTGTGCTTTTACGATAAGGAGAGCATTGCCTAATGGTGACAACCACTGCTATTAATGAAGGCATGCAGACCCAAATCTATAGCTGCCAAGGAAACTAACAACAAGATACAGAAATCAAACATTATTAGGAACACAGGAAGGAATAGTCATTGTAGGAGGGGATTTTAAAACACCATTATCAAAAAGACTTAAGAAAATAAACTCATACTCTATCTAAATACACAAAATTGATGTCTGGCAGGAATTCAATTCCATGATTACAGTGTGTGGGGGTCTTTTCAAGTAGATACAGAACATTTACAAACCTCAATACTAGTTACAAAGAACATTTCGATAAAATAAAAAAATATTAAATTTCTCTTCCAGTTAAAAAGAAGGGATTTCCGGCCTGGGGAAAATACAGAGAATAGAGCCAGGGAATGAAAAGAAGGAAATGGTGTTAATATTGTCAACTCTTGGTCTCCTGGGTATTCTGGAGAGAGGGAGCAAGATAAACAGGAATTAGCTTTAGGATCTGAATGAACCAAACACCTCCTTCTCCCTTTTCACCGCCCACTAAACATCTTCATTTAGACCTGAAATGTGAACCACCAAAATGCTCCTTGCAGACCAGGTTCAAGGCTCGGTCGTTTCACCCAGTGGTTCTCCAAGTGTGGCCCCCACACCCACGCCAGCAGCAGCAGCAGCACCTGGGAGCTTATGAGAAACGCAAATTCTCAGCCCTTCCCCAGGCCTGAAGAGGAACTCCCTCCAGGTTGGGGCTCCAGGAGGTTCTGACGCTAAAGCATTTGATGCTGAAGATGTGCAAATACCCCAGCTCCCTCACCCCTGCAGCAGGTTAACCCTGAGGGGTAGGTTTATACTGGCTCTCGGAGGTCCCCCTATCACCCACAGTACCAATCTTTCTGGGGCACCTTCCCTTCATAATCTTACTTCCCCACCCCCCACTGGTGCTCTCTTCACCTTCCAAATAGACTATTTGCACTCGCATCTTTGTTTCAAGATCCGCTTCGGGGGGGGCCCACATGAAGACACCTGCTGAACCCACTGAGTGCCTGGCTCTGCACTGGAGAACCCTGCTCTCATGCAGCTGGAGTTGCGGCTGAGGCTGCTTTGTCCTCCCATTCCTCCTCCTCTGCTTAGATGCTCTCAAGGGAGGGAACACCCCCGGCAGTGAGTCCTCACCCCAATTCAGCCCGACCTGTAGTTCCTTCTCCTTTCTAGGTTTTCTGGCTCTGGGTCGCCTCCAGCCACATAGCCACTAGCCCCTGCCTGCCCTTCCCCGGCCCTACAGGACTTCGTCATGCACTCGCTCGCTGGCAGAGACTTACTGAGGGTCAATCACCCGCCCAGCACTTGGAGAGTCCAGTTGTACAGCAGGTAGCAAGGTGCTGAAATGTGAACTAAAATAACATCCTAAGCCACCCCCCATTGCTGAACAGACTCCTCTTGGCCAAGGGGACCCCAGAGAAGCCTTAAAACTGAGTTCCCAACCATGACAGGACAGGAGGTCAGACACGCCTCATTATACCCCCTCCCTCGTTGACCACCCTCAGCCTTGCTTCCCTAAAGGCCAAGCAGAAACCAATCTCGCGAGCTGCTCCTCCCTTTTTGTGGTTTCGGCACTACAGCTGACCAGTGTTCTTTCCTGCTAAGAGACCACCGACCATGGAGTGGTTCTAACTAGTCTACGGAGATGCGCAGTGAGGGCTTCTGTGTCCTCTGCTTCACCTTTAGAAGTCAGAAACCCAAAAACTCCACCCTCAGGTCACGTGAAGTCTCCATTTTCTGAACACAGATCTCACATAGAGGTATGAAGTTCAACTGCACACGCGCCTGTTTCTCCTCCCATAAATATTCACGACTCCTCCCATAGCTTACTAAGTATGTATATTCAGCCACCCCGCTCAGCTTAAATTCCTGCTCCCTGTACCATTCCTTCCGAGTATGTGCGTCTGGCTTCTGGCTGGAGGCTCGGCTTCCCAGCCTGTCCGAATGGCCACCTACGCGCTGCACTCCTTTACGGGAAATAGAGCTCTCCTTTCCAGATTCATGAGCCTCATTGTTTCTTCAGTTGACAGACAGCATAGAAAAGGGGCCTCAGGAGGTCACCAAAGCCTTCTCCAAGGAAGTGCCATGCTGGGGACAGCTGGGAGATGAGTGGGACTCAGCCAGCCAAGGGGGGTGCCGTGGGAGCGGGAGTCCCTGCGGAGGGGCCTGGATGTGCTGCTGGGACAAGGGGTCTGCACAGAGAAGGGGGCCGTGGGCGCAGCAAGGAGAGAGACCTTGTTGCGAGATTTAGAGGCTTCCAGGAACTGAAAGAGCCTCCCCCTCACAAGAAGACTCTTCATGTCCCGTGTAGAAGAATCTATAGACATGAAATGGCCAAGGGTGAAGGGAGAGAAATGGGGATGTGAAAAACCCACCAAATGACCCGTCCTCAAACACTGAGGCCACAGTACTGAGGCCCATTGCTGGGCCCAAGTGCACCCAAGCCCTTCGGAAGAGTCCAGTTCCAAAGGGGCGAGGGGACGTCAGCTCCTGGACTGATTAAATAGGCGAGGCTCATCCCTGTGCTCCCGAGGATAACGGGGTTTTAAACAGGACCCGTGGCACCCGCTTCTTCCCCTCTTCCCGAAGCTGGAGCAGGAGGCAGGTAATCCTCCTACTCAGCACGCTGGAGCAAGGGGTTCAGCCTACTCCTAATCCTGTGGTTGCTCAGAAGATAAACCTCCTTGGCCTGCAGGCAGCCTCTCTCACAGGCTTGCTTTTATCTCACGGGCTCGCCGGGGCATTCTCCCTGCACTGAGCACAGGGCACTCAGCAGGCCGGGAGCCAACACAAAGGCACAGTCAGCAACACCAGCCCCCACGACACCCCAACACCACACCTTCCTCCAGCTGTCTCCAAGGAGCCCTGAGGAGTTTTGTTATTTTTGTCCAATATTTGCTTGTTTTATATTTTTGGCTTTGACTGAGCCATCATTCCTAGTCAGGCTGAATTCCCAAAGACAGGTAAACCCGGCTCATGTCTACCCACCATTATTTTGGGCACAGGGCCCAGAAGGGAATCCCGTTGTCACATAACAGTTCCCAACACAGGACATTTTTCTTTTGCCTCTTGAAAAGGATAATGAGGGAGGTTGTGGGGTGAGGAGTGGGGGGAATTCAGCCCTTCATCGTCACCTACTTTAGGTAATGGGAAAGGGAAATGAATCTAGGCCCGTGGCCAGGAACTGATTCCTAAGAACCCTGAGGACTGGAGGAGCAACAGGCCGGCGTTTGCCGGGACGAATTCTAACACAGCTCCCTTTCCCCAGCCATGCCCCAGGGAGCAGGGGACACGGACGCTCCGGCTCATGCTGGAATGAAAGTGGCATTTCCCCCCTGCTGACACGGTGTCCTTGGGTGCAGGTCGGCTGTCCCCGTACCTTCATCGCTGTTGTCATCCACCAGAATGATCTCCTTGAGCAGGTGCGTCGGCGTGTGGTTGACGGCGCTGTGGACCGAGCGCAGGATCACCGACAGGGCCTCGTTCACAAAGATAAATATGATGGATATCTGAGGCAGCTCCTTGGCGTACTTGAGCTCCTTACACCTGGGGAGAGAGGGAACGGGAAAGCAGAGTCAGAGGAGGGACGAGGCACATGCACCGCTGCTGGGCACGGGAAGGACGTCAGACGAATCCTCACACGGTCCTCCCAAGGCGCGAATCGTTGGTTTTCTCTGGGCCTCTCCTTGGCTGAGAACTGACAATAAAACCCAAGGAGGAGAGCATGAAAGAATCAGCTCCGCTTCCCCCAAACGTACAACCCCACAGGGAAGGAACCGCCTCTGTCTTGGGCACACATCTGTCTGCATCTACCTGGGTCACCTACCTGTGCCCTTTGCATCAGTGCACACCTGCATGACTTCCCATTCCAGCACCTGCATTTCCTTCTCTGGAGCCTTCTTTGCTACCACCTAACAATTACCCCATCCCCGAAAGCTCTCATCTAAAGACCACTGGGAACTGATGTACAAAACCTCCACCCCCTAACCCCTGGAGCAGGTTGACTCCAAACTCCCCTAGCAGGATTAAGCCCCCATCCCCCACAGCAGCGACGTGTATAACGTGCCCTTTGGGGGTGCCTCCCTTCCCAGTATTGCTCCCCGCTCCCCTGGTGGTGCTCTTGTCACCTCCCAAATAAACTACGTGCACACAAATCTTTGTTTTGGGGTCTGTTTCAGGGGGAACCCAAACTAGGACAACTACTGACCCCACTGAGTGCCCGGTGCGGTAGTGGAGATTCTGCTCTCACAGAGCTGACATTCTGGCAGAGGAAATAAACTCTCGCGCCAGTAACCAGAGCAAAGGATGCGGACCCTCCACCTGTAGGAGTGTGATGCCTGGCACACCCCAGCTCCTCTAGAATCTCCGCGGGAGCAGGAGACAGGTCCTCCCTCCAAATATCCGGCACCCCTCACATGCCTGAACACAGAGATGAAAGGGAAGAATCCTTTTCATCCAGGCTGGACTCAGCACAGAGCTCTGGCCCTCTCTGGGGGCTCCGGGTGATACACGAGATGATTTAATACCCAGAGAACGTGTTCTGCATCGCTCAGTATCGCTGCACCAACACTCTGTCCAGGCAGCGTTGGGGAATTTTATTTTATGCTTAAGCCTAAGCCACATCGGAAATAGCAAACAGAAACAAAGTACAATGGAAGGATGCACATCTTAACACATCCTTCTTGTCCTTGTGTGAGACTGCTCCATACCCAGCACAATGTGTTCTGGAGCAAAACAGAGGAAACAGATGCGGGGATGGCATGAGAGGGAAGCAGCTCTGAAGAGGCAGCAAGAAATACGGCTGTTTCTTATGCTGAGCAGCTTGGGCTATGTCGGGCCATATTAATCATGGAGGCAATTTTCAGAAGAAAATAAAGTTTTGTTACAATATGCATTTGTGTCTCCTGGAGGAGATCGTCCAGGGATCCATTGATCATGCAGCCTCATTTTCACCACATCGCTGTAAATCCACTTCTGGGGCTGCCGGGGAGATTAGAAAGGTTATTGACAGGCTCGCGGGCAGTTGGCAGCGATCATCTCATTTACTGCGTGGTGATCCGAGGGACAAGGGCACCCCAGAAGGTCCCTCGGAGGCCCCTTGACCAGCGGCCAGCAGCCGTCCTGAGGCTGGCAGTGTGGCAGCTGCCCCCCTGCAGCCCACTCCTCCCCAGCCGAACACATGCACACATACTACACGCCCACCTACTCTGCGCACTTATTCCTGGGGCTGGTTTCTCCAGTCCTTTGTTTTTCAGTCCTTTGTTTTTAACAGCTTCTGGCTACTGGAACTGAGAAGAAAAAGGTCCAGAATACAACTATTATGTACCCAAAATAATTAAAAATAATTTTTTTAAAAAAGGGCCAGATTGCACTGTACCAACACCGTCTTCCCCACCCATAGGCAAGGGAGTCCTGCAGCAGTCAAGGTCGAGTTGTGAGTCAAGCTGTGGCTACAGCAGGCAGCTCCCCCTGGCGATATGGGAAACAGCAGCCTTCAGGGGATGGAGTCCTCCGTCCTGACCTTCCATGGGCCCAGGTGGCCACTCAATACATCCTAGGGCATTTCGGGAATGAGACGTGCTCCACCTCGCATGGACACAGACACAGTACCCTGGGCTCGCCGCTCACACCACCTCTCTACACCTGAGTTTCTTTGTCTGTAAAACTGTCTAAATAATCTGCACCACACCTAGATCCCAGGCTTTCTGGAAGGATCCACTGAGATACAACCTGTGGAGCTCCATGGAAATGTAACGTGCTCACTAATGACAAGTCTGCCTGGTCGGGCCCTTATCCTCCCTTCTGGCTTCTTCACAAGCCGGGCTTCCAGAGCTTTCCGTCCACCCCAGACCCTTCCTGCAGGACCCACCCAGGACTCTCCTCCCCAGGTCTCTGGCCTCGCCCAGCTAACAGAGAGTCACCTCTGCTGTGCCTGGCGTCCTCAGGGTTTCATCCATTTACCCGATGGCAGATAATGTGAATACAGTAATTATTATTATAAAAATGAGCATCATTTTTGCTGGTCATTAAGCTCTAGGAAAGTAGATTCTGCCTTAAAAACAAATCTCTAAGGCAAGCTTATTGCCTGATATATAGAAGATGCTCAGAATTTGCTAGGTGGATGGGAAGATAGACAACTGAAGTTTTCAGCATTTGCTGTCAGGAGTAGGCGTGGACACCAGTTGATATTTATGTTACTTCCAATGAGATGTCCAGTGTCTGATGGGGCAGAAGATGCGTGAAGGGAGGGAGCTGAAGGCGGATGGGAGGAGGCGGGGGGGGGAGAGAGAGAGAGAGGGAGAGAGAGTATATCTCGCAGGCCACAGACACACCACAGCTGCACAGAGAACGGGAACAGATACGGTTCCTGCCCCAGAGATGATGCTGCACCGATGAGCACTGTGGCCTGAGGACTCTCACACAGCAGCCTACCCAAACTGCAGGTATCTGGATGCCCCACGCCCAGCACATGGGGGCTGGCATGAAAGCCCCTCCTTCACTCCCTCCTTCCTGCAGAGCTGCAGGGTGGCTGGTGCCCAGGGGCTCCGTGCTGGGGTGGCATACATGGGCCCTCGGGTGGCCCGGCAATGGCCAGGGCCAGGCAGGCCGGTCTGGGGAAAGGAGCCATTGGCTCGGAGCTTGGCTTCCTGCCCATCTCTATATAATAGAACATACAGATCCAGACACCTTTCCTGCCCTCCCGCCGGCCTCCAGGCTACAAAAGCCGGGTAAGAGTAGCCTGCAAGGCTGTGACGATTAAAGAACAGACTCCAGATCTGAAAGACACCCAGGGAGTGAGGAGAGACTGATGTGCCACATACACTGCAAACTACCTCAAAATCCACAGCTGGGGGTGTCGTGTGCTCCCTCCAGCAGCGCAGACTCAGATCTGGGTCCCAGAAGTCACACTTTCCTTTCAATAACGAGTCAGTAAGCAATAAACAGTCCTTTGTCTGCAAGGAGACTGGTGTCAGGAAAGCTATCTTAAGGTCTGGACATATTTCAATCAATTTGAAACCAATTTCAATCAGTTTGAAAGAAATTCATACCCAGCTTCCTCTCCTTAAAGGGCTAACTGGGAATCAGCCCCTCGGGGAAGCTGTTCTCACGGAGAGGAGAAAGCAGAGACAATTTATCAACTAAGTGAGACCTCTGGAGCAGTGAACATCTGTCAGCTCACCTGTCTGTCTGCCCATCTGCCCATCCGTCCACATGCCTGGGATGTTTCCCTGACCCCTGAACCTCCCCCAGGGTAACCACCGTTACCTCCTCCCTCTACTCCCAAGCCATTGGCATTGGCTTCACTTAGCACCAAAGCTGCCCAGGATCTCACTGCAGTGGCAGTGAGCTGGGAAGGCCGGCCGCCTCGAGAGAGTCATAGTGGAAATGCAAGAGGCCAAGGCCAGGGTCTCCAGCAGGGGAGAAATCAAAGCCCGAAGAGCTGACCACGCCCTCTCAGAAGCAGACCCTGCCCCCACAGGACTACTCTAAAGAGACAACCTGCATGAGCCCAGCGTGGCACAGACGGGAGGTATCGAGACACATTTGGGACCCAGTCTGCCACCTGAAAACAAAAGCTCCCTGCCTGAATGCCTCCTCATCGGAAAAGAATTTAGATGTGATGGAGTCCAGGAGGCCCAGCAGGTCACAGATGAGGATGATGATGATGATGAAGAAGAAGAAACCAACACTTACGCAGTGTAGGCTGTGTGCCAGAAACTGCTGGAAGCTCCCATGTATGTGATCGTCTTGTTTAATCCTCATGACCTGACGAGGCAGGCAATATTATCACGCCCATTTCACAGATAAGGAAACTGGAGTCCAGAAAGGTGAAGTCACTTGCCCTAAGTCACTCAGCAAGTCTGAAAGGCAGCAAGATGCCTTGATGAACTGCATCTTATGGTGTTAAAACTTCAAAATGCCCCTGCCTGGGCAAAGCACAGTGTAACAGCTGCAGCAGACAAACCACACAATTTCCAGCCCAGCCACTTCGTACCCAGGGGACCCTGGCTAGGTTCAGCCTATGTGAACCTCCATTTCTTCATCTCTGCCCCTCAAGCCCCAACTGCGAGACTGTCCTCTGCAGCCAGCTGCACCGTACCTGTGGCCTGCTGGGGGCAAAGTATTCCCAAATAGTATTTCCCAGCCAGGTCAGGCCACGGGGGCGGGGGACTCCCTTCACGGAGGATGTGGGTGAGCAGAAGGCAGCTCCATCTCCCCTGCAGTGTATAAGGCTGGCGGGAATGTGGGCAAAGCTCCTAGTGCTCTGTACCTTAGGTGGTGGCCCCCAGGGAGTTATCAGAAGCGCCTGAACAGAAGGACGCCAGCAGAGAGAGGTCAAGCCCGCCCTCAGCCACTCTGGGGCCTTGCAGAGGTCCTGCAGCTAAGGAGCCACCGCAGCATGTGGCCCTCCTGCACCCAGGCCTGACCCTGTCGTCCCCACCATCCCTTGTGGGCATGGGCAGAGTCCAGGACTTTAGGGGCTGGGTGTGGAAGGCGTACCTGTGTGTGCTGAGGATGTCTGGGCTCAGGCTCCAGCCCTTGTC